GAAACACGTATATCGAAAGTATTCATCTTAGGAGAGAAATATATTAGAGCCACGCGCGAGATAGCTGGAGAATCTCTTCTAATTCGCAGAAATTTATTTACCGACGTAATATAAGCTGCGAATAAAATGTTTAGCAACTACCCGGCTTAGCAATTATCGGATATTATATCTACGTGACGCGTTAAAGTTCATCGAGAATTTACGATAGTTAGATTTCCAACAGCTTGGTGCGGCATGTAAGAGATTTATACGCGCGGCCGGTTAATCGTTAATTAGCGTTATCGCGATTAATCTTAAACCCCGGGATTTTCCCTGCGCTTTCGTCGTTTCGCTCGACGCGATTTTTCAGCTCGCAATCTCGCCACAGAGGCTGCATCGATGACCCAACACGATCAACAGTCATCTATTACCCACCCAAATGGTCAAAGAAAACAATGTAACGCTGTATTGAATTTCTATACGCAGATAAGTTTCTTATTTATTTTCAATGCTACGATATCGGTTTCGTTTTCCTTTATATATTTGCGCAATTAAAACATTCCATTCTTCCTCCATAATCGATATCGATAACTCTCTAAAGTATCGCATTAGACCTGTTTTTTTTAATTAACTTTTTTGCACGGTACATCTTTTCTTTTTTTTCCACGTTGGAGAGAAAACAAGAAAAGATAAATTGTACAAGAAGTAAAACGAACAGATCTATTGTAAACTGGATAATCTCACCTATGTCGTGCATGGCCGCAAGCAACTATATGCAATTTGTTGTCTTTCATGAATTTAACATCATCGTTATAGAGAATTGTGGGAAACCGTACGTTTGAGTCAGACATATGGATGCCACATTCCAGGATTTCTCCCCGGACCCATTTCCTTTAAATGCAACAGCCATTCACAGGACACGCAGCTTCGGATCTGCGTGCATGCCATGTGAACTGTGGAGGGCCCTGAACGGCCTTGCATAGTTTCGGAAAGAGACCGTTTTGAGAACAGTTCTCCCTCCAGTTCTCCTCCTCTCATTCTTTTCCGCAACGGCTTCAAGAAGAGAGCAGCGGGAGTCCCTTCCAAGCGAGGTCGTAAAAGAGTGTATCGACACGAGAAGAACCAAGTCTCGACCTCGATCTCGCAGTGGGAGCACTTTCTTTCACGAAGAGGGCCCCAGGGCCGAGGTAAAGATGGCCCGGGGCCCTGCTCGACAAACGAAAACGATTGACGCCGTTGGATGTAGTACGGTTTTGGCTATGGTTAAGACTCCTAAAATCGACTGTTTCATCAATTAATACTTTTGTAAACTTTACTCTCTAAATCTGAATCAGTGGATAATCACTGATATCAGTGCCAAGTATGCCACTGGTAATCAGTGAATTCCTGTGAAATGTGAGATCCTTAACTTAGCTGATCTTTACTATGTGATCTAATTAACCTTGTTTCAAAATGAATATAGTATTGGAAAATTGAAATTAATATGCAAATATCAGTGTTTTAGTTATGTAATGCTCAAACATTCTTCCTTTTTTAGTTGAACTTCACTGATTACCAGTGTCAAGTATGCATGCCACTGAATAATTTGTGACTATCCACTGATTCAGATTTACAATATAAAAATTATTATGCGTTGATGTCACGTACGTGTGTGTAAAGTCTCATTTAATCAGTAAAACAACAAGTTCCACTTTCTTTATTCTAATTTTTCTTTATTCTAAATTGAAGACTGAAGTCGAGCTTCAGTCTTCAATTTAGAATAAAGAAAAATTCATGTTGTTTTTAGGTGTTTTCTGTGGCTGTACTAGTGTACACTTTTGGAACTTAAAGTGAGATAGATATACGTTTGATATTTGTTTAAAGCGAGAAAGAGAGTTCTAGAACAGTCTAGTGCAGGAACAGAAAACAGACCAATTGTCGCCCGAAACAAAATAATTTAGCGGAACTGTTGAATACCAAACGTAAAGTCCATTAAAACTCGCGCAATCGTATTAAAGCTACATATATCACGCAACTCCGTCTCTCTCATTACGCTCGTCCATCAACCTCTTTCTTCCTCTTCTGATGTCTCATGAAAGTCACACGTCGTTTTGTTCTCGTGCACGTTAAAAGCTTCATATATCTCGCTACGGTTGTATATAGTCAAATAATTCTTATCTCTTTGAACGAAATTCAGCATAAACGATGGTAAAATACTGCGACGAGAATAGATATATATGTTTAGAAGCTGTTACTTTCTTGCTGTGTGTAACGATCTGCAGCAAGAAAAGGTTGCATTAGTATTCTCCGCGGTAAATCACTAAAAAATCGTAGACACGTGTGAAATGGTTCCATAACGAGCGCGTTTCCGTCGACGCATGTGATTTAACACGCAATTACGCAATATGCAAGGGAATCTGCGAAAAATAAGTTAAAGGTAAACTGAAGAGGCGCGAATAACGAACGCGTGTCTTTTTTTTATATAACGCACGTGTCATAATGCGATTATGCGACTTTAATACGACGATTAAATGCGGACGTAAATACGACGCAAAATTTAGTGACGATAAAACCTCGTCTCTGTCTCCCGTAAAGCGAAAATCTTATAAATTAATTTAATATTCTCGAGATAACCCTCATAATTTTTGTTTCGCGATTAATCGCGTTAAAAGTTAATATAATCGTTCGTACATTATCGAATTCTATTAACCCCTCGCAATGTGCAAGACTTAAATCGCGCGTAAATAAGCCATTAACGATATCTTATGATACTGATAATTGAATTGATAATTTGTTGCGTGCTAAAGTTAATCTGAACTTTATACCATTCGAATTATCTTCAAGACATAATACGCCTTATCGTTATATTCTTTTGTTATATACTACGTACGTGCGCGATACAATATACATGTATTTAAAAAATCTTTTGCGCTCGCACTTCCATTAAAGCCACGAGTAATCGCATTGAAACACGCGCGTGTCACGAGATACTAATTACCCGCATCTCGCATTACCTTGCACGCATTTATCACCTTTAATGATAGATCGTACGCTCTCGCACAATAGCATCAAATCGCGTCCCCTTTTCTCGCGCACACGATCGGATAATTTATATAATGTGAGAAACAAGACTTCTCTTATATGCGCAAGAATCTTTTGTAAATCGTATTTTTTTACAGCGAGACCTTGTTTTTTATCTTACTTCTCGCTTCATTAAAATAGAGCAAATCAAAGATGGGATGCGATCGAAAATTGATCTACAATGTCAGATATCAAAAGAATAATGGTAACCTATTCCATTTGAGTTAAATATTTTATTATTTTTAACTTCCATATGTGGCAAAATGTGAATCAATGTAATTATATGGTTAGTTTCAAAGTTAACAATGTCCGTTTTAATGTATAAACTTAGTAAGTAATAAACTAAATTTGAGTCACACAAATTTAATACAGTTTCTTGGTTATATTGTTTTACTCCATTGTTTTAGTTATAAATTAATATCTCAGCACTGGCGGTTAATAGAAATGAAGTAACTCAAATTGAGCATAATTTGTCATGAATTCAACAGTGTATTGTCTACGAATTTTGCTGATCCACTTTGCATGAATCTCTAATTAATAATCTCGTGAAAAAAATATATATATGTATATATATACGTATACTCGAAAATATGTAAATACTTTTATTTCTTTATAATCAATAATTACGTTAAAATTGTATTTCAAAATTAATATTATAAAATTTTAATGATTTAAAAAATCCAAACTCATTTTCTGGAAAACTGCGTTTTTGTTGTGTAGCAAATATATTTTTCTCTTTATCAGTCTTCCTACTTCGCATCTATATCTATGATCGACTTTCTATACTCCTTAAAATTTTATCCAGTCCGAATAACTTTGGTCCAAATTTTAAAATATGTCTAGATAAACATTCATGTCCAGAATAAGGCATTTTAAGATATTTTTAAGATATCTTATTTCCTAATTTTAATATGAATATTAATTGGGCATCAAAATTTGGGTCAAAGTTATTTTATTTTACAGTAATATTTGTATAATTTTCCATATTTGCGACATTTGTATATAATTATAATTTATATTAACTATATTAATTGTCTTTCCAGATTGTATTCAATTCTGTTAAATTTTCATAAAATTCTTCTTAAAATCATATTTGAAAATGTTATATTCCTCTTTTGTCTTATCTTCTATCTATATCATGATTCTACATTCAACGTCTCTACACGTAAAAGCATTTATCAAGAAAGAATTTCAAAAAATAATATTAATATTGACTTTTATAATTTTCGTGGTGTCCTCTCTGATAAACTACCTCACTAACGACAAAGATAAGTATCCAAATATATATTGAAAAAGTCTTGTAATTGCTGCCAAATGTTGAATGAAATAATTTCAATCAAATGTTTGGTAATATCACAACAAAATTTCTTTTCTAAATATTCAATATAAAAGAGTTTTAACAAACATAATAATATAATCCACCGTATGATATAATAAAATTATCAAATAGTTACAAAATATTTAAATAATTTTTAGTTATATTAACCGAACATTTAACTGGCATTGTTACATTCAATATTTGATAGTTATTACCAGACTTTTTTAAGTGTAAATCACAAAAAATGCCGTTAAACAAACTTTCTTACGTAAAATTTGACAGAAAGCCACACTTGTGCTCGCACACAATACGCAGGTAGGATAGCCTATCAAATATCACGATAACAAAACGTTCATTCTCTATCGGCCGTTCATTACGGCAATCGACTGGAGCGTAAATATTGATAGACATCGAGCGCATGGAAGAGGTTAAGCTCGACCTCGGGAGGTCACCGGAGTCGCGGTAGGTCGGAAGCGGCCTAGCCTCGTTAGGTTACGCGAAGACAAAGACAACCTGGCGGGGGAGAGGGGGGGGAGGGGGGAAAGAGAGTAGAGCGCGATCGAGGGAATAGAGAGGCGAAGGAAGCAGAGAGAAAGAGAGGGAGGGAGAGAGATGGAGCCGCATGTTTCGAGTCGTGGCTTACCGTGCGAAAGGCTGTTCCTCGACCTCGTAGAGCTCCTCGAGGGTCTGTTTCGAGAGAAGTCTCTCCAGTCTCTCGGGCGTGGGAGCGAGATGCCCCGGGATGCTGGTAGTCTCGAACAGGCTGTCCGCGGTCATGGCCGTTGCTGCCGTCGGCGATCACACAGAAAGGAAACACCGAAACTCCAGGAGTCTTCCGTTCAACGTAGCACAAAATCCCAAAATTCGGCGCACACACTGATAGCGTCACTGAAAGAATGTCTTTGTTTATCCTCAAGCTTTCTCAAGCCGTTCTTCTCTGTCACTCGCAGTCGATCTTCTTCGATCGCGATATCGCGATCGTGGTGGACGCGAGCGAGCGAGCGCGCGCACGAAGCGCGCTCGTTTCCGTCAACGTTGCCACGAAAATATCGCGTCGCTATCGCGCGTGATGAACGTCACGACCGCAACACACATTTCAGGATGCGAGACAGGATGCCGATCGACTCTCGATTTGAACGTAGCACAAAATTCGAATCGTCCAGCGAGCACCGCCGCTCACGCGCCTACCGCGTGAAGTTGTCCGCGCGCCGCGCTTGCACTCGCGGGACACTTTCGGAACTCGCTTCTCTGCGTAACGGACTTCCGATCGGGGGCCCGGATCGGAGAAACGTGCGTCGTGTCCTCGCCGTTTCCGCTTTCGGGCTACGCGTACCGGATCGCGACAGCCGAGGCACACGCTTCTAATCCCTGACTCGAATCCTTTACCACGCGCTCATCCAAACGTTCCAACGGTCCACCGACAATTGCGCCTGCCGCTCGCGTCCCCACTACTGCGCTACTGCCCGTTGGTAGTGTTGGT